TCTCTTCGGAGTACTATGGCGTTGCATGCCTGCTCGTTGGCTGGCCTGGATATTATTTCTTCCTTAATGGCTGAATGCCAGTGGGGCTGTTCGCATACAATATTATGTACCTATCTTCAGGATGTATGTTTAATATATGTTTGTTTCTATCTCTGTTTCTATGTATGTATGTATGTCTGCATGCATGATTTCATGTATGTATGTATGTATGTATGTATGTATGTATGTATGTCTGTATGTATGTATGTATGCATGTATGTATGTATGCCCACATTCATGATTTTATGTATGTATGTGTTGTTTGGTTTGTAGTTGACTGGTTTTGAGGTTGCCATATTCATAGTATTATTCATCTGTGCATATGCGCGCGCGTGTGTGTGTGTGTGTGTGTGTGTGTGTGTGTGTGTGTGTGTGTGTGTGTGTGTGTGTGTGTGTGTGTGTGTGTCTATGTGCGTTTGTGTGTGTCTATGTGTGTGATTGTGTGTGTGTGTGTGTGTGTGTGTGTGTGTGTGTGTGTGTGTGTGACAATGCGTGTGCACATGCGCGAGCGACTCTTTTATGCATGCATGTGTGCATTATGAATTTGCTTTGCTTATATCTGTGTTTCTTTTGTGCGTACACGGAGACACACATTCTTGAGGATGCGTAAATCAATCCTTTCGCCTGCGAGTTGTTTTAAATTTCTGTTCACTTATTTGTTATATGATTATTATTACATTTGTTTGTCTGTCTAATTAATATCTCTAGTTCTTGCACCTCGTAGTATGTATGAGGGTTGTGTTTCCTGTTTGGCCGGCTGTCTCTTTGCATCGTGTTCTTTATGTGACTTGATTTGTGCTGCGGAAGTGGCTGCTGCTGGTGCGGATTTCTGGGAAAGCAGAGGTACACATTGACTATGAATGCGGCAAGGCGCTTTCGCTACGTCAAGGAGTTGGATCCAGAAAAAAAGGCATCATTGGTAAGACCGTAATGGCTAAGCCTTCTTTTTTTTAGGGAAAAAAAAAAAAAAAAAAAAAAAGGCTCCAATTTATTGGCCGGGAGCAACGCCTGCTGGAATTCAAAGCGGGTCCAGCGTGCCATTGATAATATATATAT